GAACCCCCTCTCAGCCCCAGCTCCCGCCCCTTCTCACCATCCCAGGCGGGGCTCCCGGCTCCCCGCCCCGTTTTACGGATTCTCAGCACGCCCCAAAAGAGGGGGGGTCCCTAGCTGGTGGGGTGGAGCTGCAGCCTCCAGCCTAGACCTCGGGACTCAACCTGCTCAGAGCACACACAGCCACACCGAGCCACCGGTGAGAAGCCCCTGGGGTGGAGGTGGGGGTCAGACCCACTTAACTCTGCGGTCCCCTCTCTGGACTCAGTCCCTCCCCACCGGCCATGGTGGCTGACAGCCAGCCGCTCCTCCCCGAATGCAGATGGAAGAGGCTTCTCCACCCCAGAGGCCTACAGGTCTCCTTCCCCTCTTGAGCGAGGATGTTGGCTTCTAGCCCCCTCGGAGTATGAGTTCCAGCTCTTCTCCCCTTTCTCCTTCCTCCCTTTCACAGACCCAGGGCCCCAGAGCCCAGGGTTTGCCTTCTTAGGGACTCTCAGTCCCAGACCCCAAGATCTTTCTCCACCAGGATCCAGGAATTGGGGCCCTGAGCCCTGCCCTCGGACCCTGAAATCCAGGCCCCACGCCCTCCTCTCTCAGACCCCTCCTCCCTCAAACCCAGGAGCCCAGGCCCCCAGCCCCTCCTCCCTCAGACCCAGGAGTCCAGACCCCTAGCCCCTCCTCCCTCAGACCCAGGGGTCCGGGTCCCCAGCCCCTCTCCCTCAGACCCAGGGGTCCAGGCCCCCACCCCTCCTCCCTCAGACCCAGGCGTCCAGGCCCCCAGCCCCTCCTCCCTTAGACCCAGGAGTCCAGGCCCCCAGCCCCTCCTGCCTCAGACCCAGGAGTCCAGACCCCTAGCCCCTCCTCCCTCAGACCCAGGGGTCCGGGTCCCCAGCCCCTCTCCCTCAGACCCAGGGGTCCAGGCCCCCACCCCTCCTCCCTCAGACCCAGGCGTCCAGGCCCCCAGCCCCTCCTCCCTTAGACCCAGGAGTCCAGGCCCCCAGCCCCTCCTGCCTCAGACCCAGGAGTCCAGACCCCTAGCCCCTCCTCCCTCAGACCCAGGGGTCCGGGTCCCCAGCCCCTCTCCCTCAGACCCAGGGGTCCAGGCCCCCACCCCTCCTCCCTCAGACCCAGGCGTCCAGGCCCCCAGCCCCTCCTCCCTTAGACCCAGGAGTCCAGGCCCCCAGCCCCTCCTGCCTCAGACCCAGGAGTCCAGACCCCTAGCCCCTCCTCCCTCAGACCCAGGGGTCCGGGTCCCCAGCCCCTCTCCCTCAGACCCAGGGGTCCAGGCCCCCACCCCTCCTCCCTCAGACCCAGGCGTCCAGGCCCCCAGCCCCTCCTCCCTTAGACCCAGGAGTCCAGGCCCCCAGCCCCTCCTGCCTCAGACCCAGGAGTCCAGACCCCTAGCCCCTCCTCCCTCAGACCCAGGGGTCCGGGTCCCCAGCCCCTCTCCCTCAGACCCAGGGGTCCAGGCCCCCACCCCTCCTCCCTCAGACCCAGGCGTCCAGGCCCCCAGCCCCTCCTCCCTTAGACCCAGGAGTCCAGGCCCCCAGCCCCTCCTGCCTCAGACCCAGGAGTCCAGACCCCTAGCCCCTCCTCCCTCAGACCCAGGAGCCCAGGCTCCCAGCTCCTCCTCCCTCAGACCCAGGAGTCCAGGACCCCAACCCCTCCTGCCTCAGACCCAAGAGTCCAGGCTTCCAGCCTCCTCTTACCTCAGACCCAGGAGTGCGGGTCCCCAGCCTCCTCCTCCCCCAGGATCCAGAAGTTGTGGCCCAAAGCCTCTCCGGCCTCTGAGTCCTTCAGGCTGTTTCCCTGCTGCGTCCAGGTGCAGGGGCAGCCTCCTGACCTCCTGCGGGGGTCCTGCCTTCCCCCCTGTCCAGGTCCCTATCCCAGCCTTGGCCATGACCCTGGCGGCTTCCTCCCAGCGCTCCCAAATCATTCGCTCCAAGTTCCGCTCTGGTGAGCTGTAGGGAGGGGGTTCTCTGGGCTGGGGAATACCCTAACTCTGGGAGTGTGTAGGGTGGAGTGAGGTGGGAGGGGGGCGGTGGGACCCAAGAGGTATGTGTTTTTCTGTACAAAAGAGCACTCGTGCCTAAAGGAGGCCTCAAGTTGTGTTGGCTCAATGAGTGTGCAAATGGCTAATGCAATGCTCCCGGGAACGGTGGGGAGTGGGCGGGTAGAGGTGGGTGTGCAGGGGGTCAAAGGAACAGGGTCTTAACCCGACACGCGTGCAAAGTGACGTGCACAGAGCGGAGACTTCAGAGCGGCCAGGGTGGGACAGTGGGCTACCAGGCCTCCAGAGTGTCAGCGTTGTAGCTGAGGTCCCAGCGTCGGTGGAAAGTGTGCAAGTGAGTGAAACCAGAGGCCAACGCCCGAGTAGGCAGAAGGCACTTGAGTGTGCCAATGAGTGTGCTACGTGCCTGGATGGGTGCAGACACAATGACCCAAAAGAGCAAGGAGTGTGCAAAGAGTGCAGAAATGTTGGAAGGGACCAGATCCTGCCTGTGCACGTAAGTGTGCTACTGTGGCCGGGCGAGGGGCAAGCCAGAGTGAGCCCAGGGTGAGGAGCGAGTGTCAAAGGTACATACAAGGGCACGGAAGTGGCGTGTGTGCAAAACTAGGGCCCAGGGGAATGCGTGTTCGAAGGTGGGTGTGCAGAGGCGGCGACTGTGGGGAGGCCCGGAGGCAGCGCAGAAGGCCGCAGTGCGTGCCTGGATCCGGCGGGCGAGGTGCAAATGGGCCAGGCTGCCAAGAGGGAGGTTGTGCCAGGGGTGGGTGGGCACACACTCCTCCAGGGGCAGGTGGAGCTGGGGGGCAGGGCTGCCTCCTGCCTGCACGCTGGCTGGCACCTCGCCCC